AGTATGAAAAAATATGAGCTGAAGATACTGACAACAAGCCAAAAGTGGTAATCAGCGTGAGATATTAGGAAGAATATTCTGTCCTTACTAAAATGCAGATTTTTCTCACTTATTAAAAGCTTGCGTTTCTAACCTTTTGTGAAATTCGTCACCATTCTGCCTCAAAGTAGGAGCTCTGACTGAAGAATTTAGGAGCAGCGTTCTGCAGAGCAATATGGGGCCTGGCCCATATTGAACCTTGGGAAAAATTCACAAGGACAGGATAGGGCTATTTGTACTAAATGGACCAGCACATTCTCAGAAACTGAGACACACTTTTTGATGTAATAGCACCTACAGCTCTAACACAATCCTCATAACGGAAAAGGCAAAATTTTAAACATTCTGATTAACTTGTTTTTTCATCATGTGTTATCTAAGGAGAATTAAATTTCTGAGCTGCAATACCTCCGTTAATTCACAGCATCTTGCAGTCAAAATTATAAACGCATTAAAGCATTCTTTTGGGCTCCCAAGGTAGCTGTGTCAAGTTTCAGTTTTTGTAACAGCCAACTTTGAATCAAAAGTTTACCTGAGGAATACAATAATGCTTCCTCCGGTAGGAGGAGCCAAGACAAAATTTTGCTTTTATCATCTTCTACAAAGAAATCCTGCACCTCTTCTGCTCACTCATCTGTCTTCAGCCAGGTGATTCAACGGACTTAAGTCACCAACATTTTTGTTGCCCTTTCTATATAGCTGACAACATCTTTCATTCAGCAGAAATTGCTTGTCATACAGGCTACGTACAGCCTACCAAGGAGGAAGATTTGATTTTCCAGAGCGCCTCTTCCAGGTCATCAGCCAAATCAGGTCCTTGAACTTCCAAACTTACTTAAATCAGAAGCATGCTGATTCAGAGAAGGTTGTCTACCAGAATTAATTCCATTTGCCACTCCCAGTTGATTTAGATTTGAATGCTATGCTTCACAGAGCTGAAACACCAATGGGAACCTAGCCAAAACAACTGCTTTGAGTGAGGGTCTCCAAATTTGTTTGGGGTTTCTTTCGATATTGCTATGCTGATGCAGAAAAGCAGCAGCAATCTCACTTCCAGATTAAGTGACCCTGGCTATGTATATAATAGCAAGTAGTGCAGCAGAGCAAGAGCTTGTACTGAAGACAAATATTCATCCTGAGGACTTCAGGTATTTTACTTCAGACTAGTTCTGACCTGGTCCTGTGGACTGAAAACACATCAGTTGAGTGCATCTTCCAATCTGGTTTCATCTGAAAAAAATCAGGTACCTGTGATCACTCTGCAATGCAAACCTATATACACCAAGTTGGGATGACTAAGGTTCACTTCAAAAGTTCAAACATGATCCAAACACTAACACAGCTGCACACACCCTGTATGCTAGTAGAACTTCTATATGGTAGTTGGCTTCTTTTCTGCATTAAGTGATTTCTTAATCTTGAAAAAACGGTCAGACCACTCACAGTCATGCCCAATCAGCCTTACAAACTTAAGGAGGGATAATATTTTAAGATACAAGCCGTGGGACTCTACAGATGGTAAAAATTTAAAGGATGATATACCTGATAGAGGAGTAAAAAGACAGACCATGAATCTTTAAAACTACATGATAAAAGACATAATTCATATCACAAGAGGGAAGTTCAGCGTATGTTAAGAGGGCAAGGCCATGCTGACTTTTGCTACTCATGCTGCAGGTGACATGTGAAACACCTGTACGTACCTCGGAGGAAAGGCCCAGAGCACACAGCATGGACCTTTCCCCATCTTGCCTTACTCAAATATCAGCAGCCATGGGCTGACAGCCGATGAACACTCTGACCTTCAAACAGATGCTTCCATTAAGGCATTTGTAGTAAATAAAAAAATGTTTCTCAAGGCCTGGCAGTACTAAACAATGTAACAGCAATGGTCAGACCTGATATGAAGTTGCCCAGAACTATTAAGTGGTCAGCATGCATCCTGTATTCCCACTTTCCCAAATCAAATCTGTCTACCTGCTAGCATTTTTAAAAACACCAGTTCTGTATATGCTGCTTTCCCCAGTCATTAAAAATAAATAAATAAAAAATCTGAAGTTACTTCAAGGCCTATTCATCTAAAATTTAGTTCTATTTATGCAAAACCATCTGTACACTCATACAGAATTAAAATTGATCACTGTAGCCAGCAAACGTACAAAGAACCAAAAAAGCCCTTTTGGTTCTTTGTTAAAGAAAACAGCCCCAATCAAAGCAACAGGACTGCACTGCTAAAAGTAATGCGTGTACCTTTTTCAATACTTATGCTTAACTTTACGGATGAAGAAGCCACTGAACCTGAAGCGGTTGCTCACGCAAGAAGTGTTCTCTTTGGTCTCAGGTTGGAAAAGATTCTTCATGATCTGCCCAAGGAACTCTCATATGTGTGAATGAGATACTACGTAGTATAGGACTCAATTTCAGTTTTCATATTAAAAACGCTAAGGCTAGTTCTTTTGTTGTTGTTTCAGTCACATTCAAATTCCAGTATCATGCTCTGAAGTAGCTTCTAAAGGCTGTACACAGATCAGGCTGATACATGCACTTGTTTAGTGCAAGATCATTATCTAGTGCAGAGGATGCCACTGAAGAAGCGTATTGTGAAAGTCTACTCAGCAGCTTAAAATTTGCATTCCAAGTCTCACTTATGAAAACTGAAGCACTGCCATTGTTTCCCCACAGGTTCTCCAAGCAAATATTGTAAGGTTGGTCACAAGCCATACTTTTCACAAGATGCATCATGCCATAATTTCTTAAATTAAGCACAGTCTACTGAACGTAGGCCAGCCAACACAAGTCTCTGTATGCACTATAATCCTTCCAGACACAACGCAGCAAGAATGAAGAAGAAGATGGTTGCAGTCACACTAGAGGACTATGTAGCCCCAGAAACCATATTACTCTATAACTATGCAGCTATATTAGCACAGTCTGTTTTAAAGGAGTTCACTGCAATACAAGCACAATAAACTGTGTGTATAAAAGGTGCCCTTAGCTGAGTGAAGATGGATTTTCTTTACAAGGTTGAACCTTGCTCAGCTATACTGGTTAAAATAAAAACACACAGAAAAAAAAACAAACCACTTCTAACACTGTAATTATACCAATACAAAAATAAAACAGGCAACAGCTCTATTAGCTATTAAGATAGAGACTAGTCCCACTGTTCTGTTACAACACAAAACCAGACCAGAGCACCACAGAAGATACCTGCCTAATACTAACTTTATCTGTTCGGTATTTCTCAGGTCCAGCTCCTTAAAGGAGATCAAAGTCTCTGTCAAAGTCAGCTTCATCAAGGTGTATCAGGAAAAGATGCTTCTTGTGAAAGCCTGGGAAGACACCACTGAGGGCAGACCCTGCGTCAAGAAAGTACTGCTCCTGAGTTCATGCTGCAACAAACCCGACCTCAGCTATTGGAGCCTCCTTCCAAAAAACTTCATTTCACCCCACCGCCAACCAAAACTTTGTGCACTGCTCCATCAGGGGCTGCTGCAGTCAGAAACAGCTATATCCTTGGCTCTGCTGGGTGCTTCACACTAAAGGCCGAGGAGAAAAACCTCTGTGACTCCAGGCTTCCACACTGTTGTTCAGCAGCAGGAATCAGTAAGAGACCTTCTGCTTAAGCGCTGAAGGTGAAAGACACCAACATAAACACAATGCTTGAGAGTGTAAAACTTGTAAAACTTTCTGAACATACGCAGCTCTGGTTTTTATGAACGTAACAAGGAGATGGCGCTTCTACACCTGCAGATTAATATCTTACTGCAACTGCAGGTCTTGCATAAATAAAGCACAGGCCTGTCGGTACGCTGGGGCAGTCTGCAGCAACAGCTTGGTCCTCCAGGCTGACAGCATGCTGCAGAAAAGTGCTTGCCTAACTCTCCTCCACCAATTCTTCCTGCCCAAGCAGAGTTCCCAAGGTGCCTGAGCCCCCTGCACAGCACCAAAAAGCCCCTCCAATTAGCAGAGAATGAGGACCATTCTCCTGCATGCAACAGAGATGAGGGCTGGAGGGGGCTCTGCACAAATGCATGAGAAAATATTTGACCTGCCAAGCAGGGTGTGTTTTCCTCCCAAGCGATGCACAGACTCAAAAAATTCAGGCCTTCTAGATTTTTGCTCCTTTGGCTCAAAGGGTTGATGCCAGCCGCAACAAGTATCCCAAAGACCCAAAGGAGCCCTTCTGCTGCATAAGAAGTGGTGCTAACCCTAGTGACAAGGGGCAGCCAGCGATAGATGAAGGAAGGCATCTTGAGTCGTCCCAGAGGTTCAGTGGATCAGCATCCTGTCTAAGCTATTATTCCCTGACCCTTGCTTTCACCAGCTGCAAAAAATAGCCTGGGTGATCTGTAGCAACTTCTACAGCACAGGAAGGTTTCACACGGGATGGTGCCATGCCCAATGAGATACGCTGGGCCTGGAGAAAGCCTGTCCTCACAGACACTCCTGACACCACCGGAACCACAGGGAAGCGAGAACCGTGCGCTCACTCCGGTTATCGCTATGCTGAAGGCTTTTTTGTCATTTTAGCGGCAGCCTGCAAAACAGGAAGAAAGAAGCCAACAAAAAAAGAAAAGTAAAAGGATGAGCTGGACAGGCAGCGAGGCAGGCACGCTGCAGGGGTACCTGACCCCGCTGAGCACACAGCAGCCCGCTCACCGCCACCGGGGCTCATCACCTACTGCTCCCCGGGCCTGCAGCGCCCACCGAGGGGGCCGCCAACGGCTGTCCAGCCGGACCCCAACGGTCGCAACGGCTGCAACGGCCGCCAGCAGGTGCGGCGGGTGCCGCCCCGTCCCGTGCCGTGCCGTGCCGTGCCGATAGCATCGCGGTGCCGGCCGTCATTACGGAGCGATAAATCCCCGGCGGGCAGCCTGCCCCGCGCCGCGGCCGTTCAGGGTCAGGGCGCGGGCCGCCCTCATTACCCGCCCGAGCGAGCGCGGCCGCACGCCACCTACCAGGTAATCCATGTACCGCGCCGCGCCGCGCTCCGCGGGGCCGCCCCGTGCCTGCCGCTCGCTGCGTGCGTGAGTGTGTGAGTGTGTGTGAGGAGAGCGGCGGGAGACGGACAGAGACAGAGAGCGGCGGCTCCGCTTCCTGCCGCCGGTAACGGGGAGGGAGGGAAGGGACGGAGGGGAGCGGAGCGCGGCTGGCGGCGCCGCAAGGTGCAGCGGGGCGGGGGCTGCGCGGGCGCTGTCACCGCCGCCGCCGCTGCTCGCGCCCCACCGGCCCTGCCCGGCCCGGCCCAGCCCGGCCCTGCCTGCGCGCGGGCGGCGCGGGAGGGGCGGGGAAGGGGAAAGGAGGAGGGGGGGGGGGGGGGGGAGCGGCGCAGCCAGTCCCGGCCCCGCAGCGGCCAGAGGCCACGCCCCGCTCCCCCCCCCCCGCCTGGCGTCACCGTCAGCTGATCGCACACGTGGGGAGCGCGGGGGGAGGGGGGGCTTAAAGGGGAAGGGTGGCGCTGCCCTGCTGGGGGCAGGACAAACACGCGGTGTGTTACAATTTGTACATGTACACGCGTTTTATTATTATTATTTATTGTTATTTATTATTATCCAGAGCGCTCTCCGGGACGAGGACCCCGAGTCACTGAGCGGTGCCGCCACACGCTGTGTGCGCTTGCTGGGTTGGAGGCGCCAACCCCAAGGCAGGGCACGGGGACGGACCCTGCACCGAAACCCCGCTCCTCCTGCAGGGGCACAGCTGAAACGAAAAGCCCAGAGCGGCCGGAGGAGTGGTGAGGTTCGGCAGGTTGGAAGCTGGCAGGCAGAAAGCACAAAAGCTCTGATAATAATAACAATAACAGGTTTCACGGTGTAAACTCGAACCGTGAACGCCCGTGGTCACGGATTAGCCATTACCGAAATTATTTCCTAGAAAGATCCAGAAGGGTACGGGCACGGAGGAAGGGCTGGGCGCAGGATGGATTTTACACGAGGAGAATTCGAGCAGTGGGAGCCAAGAACAGCCACAGCCCCGTCTGCGGCTCTGATCTCAGTGGGTAGCTTGCAGCCTGCTGTTGAGCAAACTCGCCCAACTGTTACCAGGGACAGGGAGAAACTGCTCTGGGTAAATAAAACTTGAAGCAATTTGCAGCTCTTTATCTGAAATGTTGGCAAATGTCAACATGCGGAGATACTACAAACAAAGATGAATGGCTGCAACGGCAGAAGCAAGACCTCTCTATCAAAAATCTTCCTTTTTCTCTGTGCTCTAATGCTTTGCTATGTTCTGGCAGTAGGGTCACTCTGTCTGTTAAGGCTGGATGTTTTTCCTACAAAAGAATGCATAGTTATGAAAGCAAGCAAGCAGATCTTGGAAATGCTTTTCCACTTGGTCTTCTCCCATTTCTTGTTTCCTGAAATATTTCGAGGTCCTTCAAGTAATCTTACTAGCAAAATAGCAACAAGGAGTCTAACATGAAAGGCTAATGGTGAAAAAAGGTCAAAAGGAGAAAACAGGTCCTGACTACAGTTAAACTGATGCAAATGCGTCCTAATTTCAATGAAGGCTGAAGAATTTTAGCCCGTGGGATATAAAGTAATTGCAATATTACAAATGATTTTATATAGATTATTATTTATTCTTCCTTGTACCACAAAAATGTTACAGTTAGTAAAGCAATGCAAGAAGATTTGCATGAAAATTTTTGAATAGATTACTCAATAGATTATATTGCTAAGCAGACGGGAAATTGCCTTTCTAAGTCACTGCCACCCATTTTGTTAGTGTTGTGGACTCATTCTTCATTTCATGACTCTTCAAGGGAAGGTCCTGAAACAGTCCAACAGCAAGGAAGAACAATAGCTAAGAGTCCCAGTCTTAAACTAACACCCATCCTTTGAATTATTAACAGAGTTTGAGGACCAAATAAGCATAGACAGGGAATCTCCCTTTGGTAGCAGGTGTTCTGTCTTTAAGAACTGTGGAAATCTGGATCCCTAGATTTACTCCTTTGTTCAGTTTCTTCTCGCACACAATCGACAAATCAAATAATTCTTCTGCACTTTTTTATTTTTTTTTTATTTGTACTTTTATTTTTTTAATGAGATGAAGAAAATAGCATATTGCAATAGCAAGGTCTTCTGACGTTAAAAAACAAAAAACATGGTTGCTAGCAGTTCAGGCCTGATACTGCTTGGGCCACTGTGTAATACCTTCAAGAGATGGATTAGAAGTTGTACTTTCACATCCCTGTTGAAAAACAATGAGGAGCCAAACACTAAGAATTCTAGTCCCATTCCACCTGACTTTCTGGGATGAGCTAAGCATTTGGACTTTTGCAACAACTGTGCGGTCCATGTTATGAGGATTATGATTCTGATTAAGGTTTGCAATACATTTTTCTAGTACAAGTAGTGTTTACAAAGCATTCAAATATTTCTCTGTCTTTATGTTGAGATTGTTTTTGCCTTTTGTAATGAATAAATAAACAGAAGCAAGGCAATGACACTATGGTCTTTACTGTAGTATTTACATTCAAACACGTTCTCATCAGTGGCCTTTTCCCTTGGCTTTGACCACAGGATGAGAATTCTGTTAGGCCAGGACTACACTTGTGTTCCAGATTTACCCCTGAGAAGAAAATACCTAGAGAGAAAATATTCCGTGTCTCAAACTATAATGTGGGCTGTTTTGGGATCCAGTTGTTCAAGCTTTTCATCTCTCCATTTGGTGTTGGAAACATCATATTTGCCAGAACTTCTCAAACGATAGTCTTGGGAAGGTGTGAAGAAATGCCATTACAATGGTAAAAGACAATACATCTTATGATGTACATAATACCTCTGTGTATAATATAATAATATATAATAACAGTGACCATCCTGTAGGTCTGCCTGTCTGAAAGAGAGCAGTGCAGTCCTTCAACTTAGACTGTCCAATGACTTGGAATAGAGGTCTGACTGTTTCTAGCATCAGCCCTTCACTGCAAAAGAGCAAGATTCAATAACAGCACGTATGAATTGGTGGGAAGAAATACGGAGTGTCAAAACAATTGAAAGAATAGCCAATCCAGAAACAAAAGTAATTGTACTTTGTTTATGACCTTGTATGTCATAGTTATATAAGGTGGGTTAACTTACTGAATATAGTCCAACTTTATATGTTCCTTAACAGTCACATCTTCCAGATTAATCCGTGTGAATACAAACCCATACAACTAAATTTTCCTTGTAGTCAAATTATAGCATATATTGAGATATGGTCAGCAAAGCGTTGCAGGCAATGGGAATGACCATTTCATCTCTCCTTGGAAATAATGAACATCAGATACAAAGCTAAGTGGTTGAAATCTTTTTGGAATCTTAAATGAAAATCAAATAAGTAAGAAATTATTTTGGTATAGATGCATCTTTATGGAAGACAAGAAGATAGAACAGTGTTTTAGCCTATTCTAGGTAACATATGCTAGAAGAGAAATGTTTATTTACTAACACACGCCTTAGAGTTTGAACTCCAGTAACAAGTTCACACAGAAGTAATTCTTTCATTATTTTATTCATGTTAGCTAATTTAAGCTATGCAGACAAGTGAACACAAGTTATAATTAAACCTGCATTTTGCCATGTAGCATATCCTTAGGAGCTCTTTTTTTTTTTTTTTTTTTTTTTCCCTTTAAAGCACATCCTAAAGTCCCACCAATTAAAGTTTTTAAACACTTTACTACATATTTCTGGTGAATTAAAGTATGCAATTAGTGATAAGGCACACAGAATCACAGAATCACAGAATTTCTAGGTTGGAAGAGACCTCAAGATCATCAAGTCCAATCTCTAACCTAACACTAACAGTCCCCACTAAACCATATCCCTAAGCTCTACATCTAAACGTCTTTTGAAGACTTCCAGGGATGGTGACTCCACCACCTCCCTGGGCAGCCCGTTCCAGTGCCTAACAACCTTTTCAGTAAAGAAATTCTTCCTAACATCTAACCTAAAACTCCCCTGGCGTAACTTTAGCCCATTCCCCCTCGTCCTGTCACCAGGCACGTGGGAGAACAGGCCAACCCCCACCTCACTACAGCCTCCTTTAAGGTATCTGTAGAGAGCGATAAGGTCGCCCCTGAGCCTCCTCTTCTCCAGGCTGAACAAGCCCAGCTCCTTCAGCCGCTCCTCGTAGGACTTGTTCTCCAGGCCCCTCACCAGCTTCGTCGCCACACATACCAACATACAACTGAAATAGGATTAAAAAGCAGAATCTGGAAGCAAATCTGAGATATAGATATCAGGCCCTCAAGAAATAAAACATCTTGAACACTATCAGTCCAGAAGAAGAATTTTGTGTTGGTCAGATGTATTTATGAAAATGATTGTAGTTTAGCCGCTTTTTGAAGACAAGGAATATGAAAAAGGTTGTATCAACTGCAGATCATTTGAAAGGACACCCATTTATTTTAAAAGCAGGAAATATGGGCCAATGTACAAATTCCTGAGCAAAAAAACAGATTTAGCAAGAAAGAAGATACTGTGAACTGAAATCGAGAAGTTAATTAGAATGTCTTGGAAATGATTCATAACTCTCAGTTTTTTGTTTGTTTGTTTTTGTTTGTTTCAACTGTAATTATTCCTAAGGTATTTGGGGATGTTTTTGTAGGTACGGTTCTTTACATCTGAGGTAACCAAACTCTGAAGCGGTGACAGTCCAAAAGAATCGTGAAAAATCAACTTCATGCTTCCCTAGTATGACAGCAAATGTAATTTTAAACTGAAAAACTAAGGAAATAGCGCTACACCAGAAAATATGCCACTGAATAGGAGAGCAAATGTGAGTAACACAAGGTGCTGTTTCCCTTTCAGCTTCACTATTATCTCTGTACTGGGGCTATTGAAAAAATGGCCTTTTTAAAAGTAGCATTTATAAATTACATATCTGTCTCCCTGACTTCCAGCTCACATAAAGAAATCTGAATGGCATCTGTGTTGTAGAAATAATGTGAATTGAAGGTTATGCAAATGTTTTTAAGCACCATGCCTTCTAGGTTTGGGAGCTTCCAATTAAATACCTGTATAACTACCTCTGCCTTCACATGAACAGCTCATGCAAGGTTAACACCTGTGGAATATAACACTGGAGATACTCAGTCCCAGTTACATTGCTTTTTCCATAAAGCAGTTTGGTTAACTGCTGGCTACTCTACAAATGCTATATTTTATATAAAGTGGTTTCCCTCTTGGGCCCACTTATGTAGGCCCAACAAAAGGTAGAATGTTTAATGTTGAAGCAAGTTTTCCCATTGTCTTTTCTAAAGTTATGATGAGTAACTAATATTGAATGCAACAGGCTGT